CACCTGGACATAAATCCCACCAGTGAGGCGTGACCAGGAGCCAGACCCTCCATACCCTCGGGATCAGGTTGGAATGTTATCTCCAAGTGCTTCAATCCTGGAAGTCCAGCTCTCTCCAGGTATGGTGGAGCACCAGGAGCTCCTGGAGGCTACCTGGATCCCATCCTCACCTGGAGCCATTCCATGGATCCACCAGTGAGTTCTAACCCAAATCCAGACATTTCATCCCCTTGGGATCGGGATGGAATCACATTTTCCCTCCATGTGCTACAATCCTGGAAGTTCAACTCTGTCCAGGTGTGGTGGAGCACCAGGACCTGCTGTTGGCTTACCTGGAGCTATTCCATGGATCCACCAGTGAGCCCTGACCCCCATCCAGACCTTTCATCCTGTTGAGATCTGGATGCAATGACACTTTACCTCCATGTGCTACAATCCTGGAAGTCCCTGCTCTGTCTGGGTGTGGTGGAGCACCAGGAGCTGCCAGGGCCATCTGAACCCCACCCTCACCTGGAGATGTGCCAACGGATCCATCATCCGTGAGCCCTGACCCCCATCCAGACCCTTCATCCCTTCAAAATCTGCATGGAATGACACTTCCTGTCCATGTGGTACAATCCTGGAAGTTCAGTTCTCTCCAGGTGCCATGAGGATCTGCTGGATCCCACCCTCACCTGGAGCTGTTCCATGGATCCACCAGTGAGCCCTGACCCCCATCCAGACCTTTCATCCCCTCAAGACCTTCATGGAATTACACCTTCTGTCCATGTGCTACAATCCTGGAAGTTCAGCTCTATCCTGGAGCACCAGAACCTGCTGGAGGCCACCTGAATCCCACGCTCACCTGGAGCTGTTCCATGGATCCACCAGTCAGACCTGACCCCCATCCAGACCTTTCATCCCTTTGGGATCAGGATGGAACAACACTTCTTGCCTAAGTGCTACAATCCTGGAAGTTCAGCTCTGTCCTGGAGCACCAGGACCTGCTGGTGGCTCACCTGGAGCCGTTCCATGGATCCACCAGTGAGCCCTGACCCCCATCCAGACATTTGATCCCCTCTGGATCAGGATGGAATGACACTTTCTCTCCAAGTGCTAAATCCTGGAATTTCATCTCTGTCCTGGAGCACCAGGACCTGTTGGAGGCCACCTGAATCCCACCCTCACCTGGAGCTGTTCCATGGATCCACCAGTGAGCCCTGACCCCCATCCAGACCCTTCATCTCCTCGAGATCT